GTAGTTGTAGTTGTAGTTGTGGTTGTGGTGGTGGTGGTAGTAGTAGTAGTAGTAGTAGTGGCAGTAGTAGTAGTAGTAGTAGCAGCAGCAGTAGCAGTAGCAGTAGCAGTAGCAGTAGCAGTAGCGATAGCAGTAATAATAGTAATAATCGTAATAATCGTAATAATCGTAACAATAGTATTAATAGTAATAATAGTAATAATAGTAAAAATAATAATAGTAATAATAGTAATAATAGTAATAATAATAATAATAGTAGCGGTAGCAGAAGTAGGCGTAACAAGAGCAGTAGCAGGATCAGCAGCAGCAGCAGCAGCAGCAATACTCTGCTGTGGCATTAAAAATCGCACCAACATTGGCAAGGCTGACAAACTTGACATCATACGGGGCACCCAAATTAATTTGATCGGGAATAACCAAACAGGACACCTCACATCGCGCTATGCAAAACAAAAACCATGCCACAATACTACCCATGCTTTGCGTGCGCTCGCCTCCCGTCTTTGATGCGGTGTTGCTGCTCCAAGTTTTCTAGCCTTCGGTCCGCCATGCCAAAAAGCAATGTGTACCTTCTGCAGACACGGAATGACAAGAAAACAACATCCCATGACACAAGCCAGGCAGGCAACATCATAAGAACTGAATGTGCAAACGTCGCACTGCGGGTTGTGTTGTGCGATGCGCTCCACCATCTTCAGGGCTTCTTCAGCGCTGTCCTGCGGGAAAACCATGCGCACGCTGCAACTTGCATATCTGTCTGCCCATGGCCTGGCCAAAGAATTTGCCCTCATTGAGGCCAGCCACAAACAATGTCTGTTCCGGGGTTGAGTCCCGCGCCGGTACCTGGTGTTGCGCAGCAAGGCAAACAAAACATGCAACAACCCCTTCATTGCGGCGCACGGTGTAAGCAGTGGTTGCAAATCCGCGCAATGCTCGAGAACTTCGAAATCCCTGGCTGCAACGTGTGCTCATTGACAAGAAATAAACATGCACACAACATTTCGTTGAGATGACCAGCGCAGTGTTAAGAAGAGCGCCGGTCGAGAAATGCCAGCAATACGGGGCAACATGGGCATGGGCAAACAAATGCGCAATCACAACTTTAAACGCTAGATCCAATGCTCGAAGCCAACTATTGACCACTGACAGATCCAAATGTTGCCCCAATGGATGATCAATCACATGGCACCGGTGGCTCGACGTACGAGTAATCAGCGTCATTTCAAGGGGTGTGGTTGTTGGAGGCATGTCTCCAGCTCATGCACGGATTGAAAATCATGCTCATACCATGCAAGTTGCTTGAGCCATGTGACATTGATTGCCATTGGCGGACATCGGAGCTGCTCACATCCACATCAAGCAACCCTCTTACCTTACAAGTGCTGCTGGTGGTTTGCGAGTTCAGTTTTGCCAGGTCTCCGGTCAAAGACATTGACCAACGGTTGCCGTGCAAATTGACAGCTTTAAACTGTACAATGGCGTTTGGTGATAGCCAATGTTCAAGCAACGCCAGCCAGGGGATGGCGGGGGCCGTCAGGTTAAGGAATTGAACTCAGCCCACAGAAAAAACGTTTCAGACATTTGTCCACACGAGTAAAACGAGCAGAAACACACCAAAACGCCATGGCAATTTGCAGGGTGGTCGCACCGAGCTGCAACATGTGTTTTTCTCGGTTTTGCCGGCTAAGGATTCCCATTGTTGCCGTCGCACGTGCTCGGGACGAAACGGTGAAGCGGGGTCCTGAGGATGACGCCTTTTTGCGCGTGTCCATTGCAATCCCCGAACTGTAGAAAATGATGTCCACCCGCACCCTTCCATGGGCCCCTCAGCTCCCTCAACTTGTTGGATCCTTTTTCAAAAAGCGCATAAATGTCCAGGTGGCTGGTCCGCCACCTTTCTCAACAGCATCAATTGCCTGTACAGCAAAATCTGGGAAAGTATGTGGATCCTTGCCAGTCTCAGCGCTTTACTGCTGTTGGGCAGGTGGCTCATGCATGAACGCTGGCGTCGCACACAGCGAACTTGGAAAGCATCAGCTCTCCGCAATTCTCGTGTGCTGAGCCAGGCCGCATTGAAAGAGTACAGCAGTTTGGAAGGAATGCACACATCAAATTCGCGGATTTTTCGCAGCGTTGACAGTGAAGAGTGCCGCAACACCCTTCTTCTGTCGCCATGTCGCCTTATGCTGTGATGATGCGAGCCAAAAAATAAACCATGGAAGACGACGCAGCGCCGCCGTGCCGACTGTGTCAATGGCGTTCCGCCCAGCGGCGCGGACGCAGCGTGTCGGCGGTCGTTGCAGCGCAACTATTACAGCTGGCTCTTCGAGTTGCCGTTTGCTGGAGGGTGCTATGTCGAGGGATGGCTCCGGACCCACAAGGTGCCGCCGGACGCGCGGCGTCCCCACGCCAGGCGGCCACCGGGCGAGAGCTGGCAATGCCATGGACCCTTCGAAGGCATGCCGAGAAAATAACTCAGTAGCTCCGGCGCCCACAAAAAACATGGCAACACACAAAAAAAAAAGACTCAATTTACAAACAAACCCCTCAATAATTAGCTCGCCCACACGACAGTTGCGACTTGTCAACCGTCACCTCATGCCACCGCCCCGATCCAAACAGTCCGGGGCGCGGTGGCCTTTTCTGCCCGTGACGGTCCAGTTTACAGTCGCGAGCATGGCGTAACCCGGCGAGGCCGAGCCACAAGATCGCGCACCCAACCTACCTTGCAGCAAACGCAGCGCCGAGCATGCGTTGCGAACCTCGATGCGCGACCGCAAGTAGCTCGCACAGATGAAGGTACACGGGGATTCCTTGAGAGGAGAAACGCGCAGAACATTTGGAAGTTCATGGTCGCGTTCGGGGTCGAGCTGGGATGGCGCCACGCAGACGTTGTTGCGGTTCGCGCAAATTTGCCTTTGATGCAGTGGTTCGTGCGCCGATTGCGGCACATTAGTCGCTCCATCACGTGGCACAGGATGCAAGCTGTGTTCAAGACTGCGGCAGCACCAGTAGTGGACGCCGCATACATGGGCAGCCAGACGCCAGAGGGCTATGCAGGCATGCCTGCTGGCAAGCAGAAGGCGCAGGCAAATACGTGGACGTTATGCCACAGATTTAATCGTCAGTCATATGTTTCGTTCCGGAATCCATAGCTCCTTTGACTATCCACTTTCCCCGCAGCACATGGTGAGATGGTTACGGAAGCGGCAGGGAAACAACCATGAAGGTGCTGGCCAGCATCCTGGCCTCATTCAGGCTCCTGGGACCTGGACAGTCTTCGGAAGAGCCCAGGACCAAAGGATTTCAAGCGGTATTTTCCATGTCGTCGTGGCCTGAATAAGCCCATCCCTGTGACTGGGGTGGCCAGGCCGCCAATGTGCGCCGGACTCCCTAATCCGTTGTTGTACTTCCGTGAGGCCACCGAGAACCGAGAAAAATGGGCATTGGTCTCTGAGCGTTGTGGTTCTGATTGGAGGACGATAAGAAAGCACAACGTCAACATAAGCGCCCAACCTTGGAAGATGACACACTCGCTCACGCACTCGCTCAAAACCTCGTGTTCGGTGACACACGGGCATGTACGGTACCAGCCCGCCTACCCGGGATCTTCCACACACAGCACGGCAAAACAGTAAGAACAAAACAAAAGATTGCTCCCAACCCCTCCCGTCCGCCGTGATTTCTTCAAGTCTCGCCCAAACCCCATTTCAACCAGGTGTGACCCGCCAATACCGTTCTCATTGGGATACAAAAATTGCGACCTGCAATCATTTCCTTTGCGGGGCAACAACCACCGCGCGGGTGTCAATGTAGCTACCTTGCTCCAAACAGAGGATCACCAAATTTTCGACAACTTGGCCTAGCGCACCGGTCTGTCGGGCGCGGCCGACAAGCGAGCACTGTAACGCTCCTCAGCGGACGTCGAAGAGAGGTGGCTGGCAGACGCGCTGAGCAGCAAGGCTTGTAATTTAAGGGCAAACACCATCGGCTATGCGAGTTCTAGGGGGTATGTGCGCAGTGTTGGCACCTGTTGGTTTTCTCGCTAAAATGACTTGAAATCTTATTAAGAATTCCCTTTTCTAAAACCAGTTGATATCGATTAAAATCCAATACAAATCAGTTGAAATCGAATGAAACTCAAACGGCTAAGCTTAAGAATGGTAATAAAAACAATTAAAATCGCATTTTGTTCTCGTTATTAAAACCATATGAGAAAAACAGTCAAACCTACGAAATGAAGGGAACCCTTAATTCCTTTGCATTTCTTCGTATACCGCCTAATGACCTCAAAGCCTTTAGGTTAAAGACATGCAGGTCCGCTACATGTTATGGGACTAGAATGCACTAGAGTACTGCGCGTTTTTGTGACGGAACTCTGTTGCGCAGCGCCCGATGAGAATGATGGACAGCGTGCTTGACTCAGTTGACATGACGGATCAAAAACGATGTTTTTTCGGAAGCAACGGTTTT